CACTTTATAAAGCAATGCAGAGTGGCAGCCTGCTGCCTGTATTTTTGTCTGTAGTTCTAGATAAACTAAATAAAAAATGCTTATTGAGAGAAAATGCCTTTGAGCACTGCTTCAACTAGAAAGTAAAAAAAAAGTTGAGTGTTTCTAGTGCTTAAAAATCTTGGTGATGCACAGACTATTTTATGGAGTTCACCTGCAGAGAGGCTATCTTTCTGGGCTCCTTGTCAGTGTTCCTGTTCACCGAGTGAATTGGCATACAACACAGTTGTTGGGAAAATCTGTTGTCTTCCTACTGATACTTATGAAGGTATATATGTTTTAAGATATTTGCCTTTGTAATATAGTGAAATAATAAAGGTAGGTCTAAGACTCAGATGACTGAAGGGAAAAAAAAAGGAAACAATTGTATAATCTGTTTCTAACAAAAGATGGGAAATACGCCACACAGTTTATATCCAATTTAGTGGGATTAATAAGAAAAGTTATTTTCTTCATCATTCCTTAATGTACAGAGCTGCTTAATTCATCCATAGCTTACACAGAAAATATCTGTTCAACTTATGAAGATAGACCAATGAGAATACCCAAAGATGCCCAGGCACTGCAGAATGCAGACGGCCATCAGAAAGAAGGCAGGCACACTACTCGCTGTCCAGAGGGTCAGCTGGGAGAGAGCTTGGTTTGATGCTTTAGCATCTTTACCTCATATCCCCTTTAAAGCATTGCTGAAGCTCAGACTTGTTCATCACAAGACAAATGTGATTAAGGGTGATGGGAGGGAGGTGAAATGCCTCCCAGATAAAAAGAATGTGGGCCACGTTATTTTTGTATACTAAATTGCTCCAACATCTTTTTTTTTTTTAAAGGTTTGGCTTTTTTTAAGACTAAAATTCTAGTAACATTAGAGTTTGAATAAGAAAAAATTAATGAATTGGGTAATATGTAACAGAACAGAGGCCCAATGACAAAAGGTCAGAATTATCTGGTAGGAAAATGAAAAATTCTTTAGAGCTGAGGATGTAGCTCAGTAGAACGCCTGTGCAGCATGCATGAACCCACAAGTTTAATTTTCAGCTATGTGAAAACAATCAACATGCCAAAAAATTTATCTAGTTGGAAAGTCCCCAGTTACATAACCATCCTAGTTGGCTACTTCTTATTGGCTGAGGTTTTTATATTTATCTAAACCAAGCCCTTTACAATCATGACCAGGGGAGATTTTGTTTATGTTTTCAATCTAAGATTGTTAATGTCTAATTGATAGCTCATTTATGTTTACTCTAAAGAGCAAAAAAAGAATTATAAGACAAAAGTTGATTTGTTTCATTGGGAGAAACATTCTTTTACATTTAGGGTCAGGATTCTTTTTGCACCTGATCTGTTCAGTGTGACTTTTTAAAAGTTCTATAAATAATGTGTCTCATTCCTGGTACCTGGGTTTATGAAATAATGATAAATTTGGCCACGGTTGGGATGGCTAAGTGCTTACAGCGGTGGATTCAGAAGGCAAATTTTGACATGATATCACCATAAAATATAATGCACTGCAAAAATTTCTGAAAAATTTCCCTTTCAAGAATGAACATTAGAGTAAAAGCAGAAAGCCGCTGGTCAGAAAGTAAAAATCACTTTTCACTGTCATTCTGAAAGCTGTTTGTGAAACATACATTTAAGCTTCCATGTGCTCTCTTATGGTACATCAAAATACCTTTTTTGATCATTAGAGCTGTCTGCAGATGCTTGCCTTTTGTTCCTCACAAATCAAGGCAGACATGACATCACATATTGGGGTCCTATGCAATATGCTGTCTTAAAAACTAAAATTTACATCTTAGAGGAAAATCTGAAAATTTTGATCAAGGGAATTGAAATTTGCCAGAATAAAAGCCTCATCAACTTGTTACTTCTTTCTCACTTTACAAACTGTCCAGGTTTTTTTAAAAAAAAAATCAGAGTCAAACAAACACCACTTCTTTCTTCATTTTCTCTACCAACATACTTTAGGGCACATCTAACTTCAGCTCATTCTATTTTTTTACAACATTTTAAAAACAGTGCTTAAAGTAAAGACCTGTTAGCCGGGCGGTGGTGGCGCACGCCTTTAATCCCAGCACTCAGGAGGCAGAGGCAGGCGTATCTCTGAGTTCGAGGCCAGCCTAGTCTACAGAGCAAGTTCCAGGATAGGCTCCAAAGCTACACAGAGAAACTCTGTCTCTAAAACAACAAGAACAACAAAAAGACCTTTTGAGAAAAGTGTTTGAATAAATGTTCTAAGCAAAAATTTAAACACTATTAAATTCAGTTTAGAAGAAAACATTTTAGGTTTAAATATAACTTTTCCTTTCACAATTAGGCAAATGATTAAAAAGCACAAAGCTGGAAAACTGTTACCAACTGTGAATCCACTTGAAAGAAAGGGAGCAAGGAGTGGGGTATGAGCTGAATATTAATGATAGGACGGAGGCGAGAATAAATGGATACAGAATTTTGTGTGAAGAAATGTATGGAATGAGCAAAGGGCTGACACAAGTTCCCAAGGAATAGCACAGCTCTCAATTTTGCTGGGAGGCTCATGGGTAGACATAGGGTGTAAAGTTAGGTTGTGATCAGATAATTAAGGGTTAACACCAGGGGAAGGAACTAGGCTTTTTTGTTTTGTTTTGTTTTGTTTTTGTTTTTGTTTTTTTCTGTAAAGAATAGGCAATAGAGATTCCACACACAAGATTCCAGAGAGATTGCATGGGTAGAAAGGGTGGAACTTGAGGACAAAATGGAAGCTAGAGTAGATGAAAGAAAGAGAAGTCAAAGATGAACTCACTCTCCAGACTCTCAGAGATGAGGGGACTAAAGTATCTATACCTTCAAGATTTCAAGAGCATAAGCCAAATAATTTGTTGATACAAATTTTATTTTTCATGCTAAAATGTTTTACAAATTTAATTTTGTCATACACAAGTATAAGAGTAACGGTTACAAGTGAATTTAAAAATAGCATGGGGGGGCATGTCTATTCTTTTGCTCCTATCATAACCATGTTTCCCTACATGAACAGTAATCTTAACTATAATTCAGAACTGTACAAACAGTAAATTTAATAGATATACCATGACGGATGTCACTAAAGAGCAAGTATACAGAACATATTTTACATTCTCTATTCCACAATTTAAATTGACTGTTAGAGTCTAGTAATACTGTCATTCACGCAAACAGTGGACATCCCAAATCCTTTCCCAAAACCTTCTCAGTTTAGTTCTAAAAGGAATGATAGGATAAAACATACAGACTGGCTGATGCTTTATGTCTGAAGCCAGCCTCTGTGCAATCAAATTCTGCATCTGGTATAGCCTGGCATTGTTCCTCCTCATCCTGGACAATTGCAAGATGAACAGCATGTACAACACTTAAGAATCACCCAATACAGCTGATGCAGCGTCCCCCAGACTTCTAGTTTCTAAAATTCTGGGTGAAGTGGGTCAATCTGAACTTCATCGTCTACATGGTAGTAATATAACTTTGGCCATTGGCACAATACTATTCTTTTGTGTTTTACAGCATACAAAATATCCTGAAAACATTTCTCTGAAACACATTTCAATCAATGTAATTAAACAGAAGGCAACAACTTCCTTCTAGAATAGTTAGACTCAACTATGGAAAGCTTCTCCTAATCTTGCTAAGTTACCTATGCCGTGCTTTGAGGGTCGAACAGCACCCACACTATGTTCTTCAACTTGGACTCCGTGTTAGGTGTGTAGAAAGAACTACAGAAGGAACTGTACTCACAGTTTAGAACGTGGGAACTCCATTTCCATTCCTACAGTAACCACATCACTGTTGGTTTTATCCAAATTAAAGACAAGTTCCAAACTCCTCTGTGAAACCATTTATCTAAGCAAGCTAAAGATACACAATGTTGGGCCGGGCGGTGGTGGCGCACGCCTTTAATCCCAGCACTCGGGAGGCAGAGGCAGGCGGATCTCTGTGAGTTCGAGGCCAGCCTGGGCTACCAAGTGAGCTCCAGGAAAGACACAAAGCTACGCAGAGAAACACTGTCTCGAAAAAAAAAAAAAAAAAAAAAAAAAAAAAAGATACACAATGTAGTTCCAATTAGAAACTGTGAATGAATATTGTTATGCAAATAGATCTTGGATATAGAATTTAAAATTTTGATCCAAATATATCACAAAAACATCTGTTTTAATCAAAAAATAAAAATTGAATAATTATTATCCAATTATCTCAGATAAGTAATAATTTTTCTTTAAAAAGTTAAAAGCTAATTTCACAAAAAAAGTAAGAGGCATAAAGCTGACCCCTCTAAGTTGTACTCTGAGCCAAGCAACTGTTGCATTTTATGGATCTCAAAGTCTTACCTGAGGGCACCCGGTTTACCTTTTCATTACACATCAGCAGCTTTAAGTTTAGCTCACATTACTTGTCAAAGAAGACAGATAACGTATTTGAAAACCTAAAACTCATCATATTTTTAAAGTATATGAATGGAACGATCTTCTAAAACAAGAAGCATTGTGTAAAGACCTGTTGATTTAAGTACTTTAAAAAACAAACAGAATGCAAAGACTCAGCAACACACCTGGCCAACATAATACCCAACATTATATCACAGTAAGGCTAAAGGACTCATTAGGGCCAAGTCTCAAGTCTCCTGAGGTGTCACTTATACTGTGTTTTGATGTTACCTCCTACCCTTTTTATACTGCGCTGTCATTTCCTAAGTGCAAATTATAAGATCTGAAGTGAGTTATATTTTATTCTTTGTAACTATTTTTTTAGAGAAAATAACTACTTCATTAAGCCAAAGTAAACAGGAATCAAAAGAAACCTGAACACAAAAATAAAGTTATATTTTATTAAATGTCTCAAGCAAAATGGTCTTTCAAGCAATTTTAAGGAATTTATCTCTTGTCTAATATTTTCACACTGTATTTCAAATCTCAAATGTAATAGTCTTATTTATAAATAATTCACACTGGAAATGCCAGTTTTATTTTTATTGGAATTATTGAAAAAGTATTAAACATTAACACAAAAATTAAATTCCAGGTTTGGCTCTAAAGTATTCTACATTGTTTAGTTTACTTTTAGAAATATTTCAGATAGCAATTCAAAGTTACCAACATCTTAGCCCATCACTATTGACTTCAAGAATTTTTATTCTATTTTTCCACATGCATTTGTGCATGTGCGTGTGCATGTGTGCATATTCATGTGGAAAACAACTTGCAGAAGCCAGTTCTCTCCTGCTGTTGTGAGATGCAGAAACTGAGCTCAGATTGCTTGGTGGCAATCATCCTTATCCACTGAATCATTTTGCTGGCCACTTCTAATTTCTAATTGCATTAAACCAAGTTACCATGACTTTCTGATGGATATTTTAAATGATAGGGCACAAATATGAGACAGAGAACCTAGTTCTGGCTGCAGTGTAAGTATGTACTAGTATGTAATTTTAAAGCAAATCCTCTCAGTACCCTGCTGAGAAATCACATAAGAAAAGCAGACAGAGAAGCAGCAGCCAGTGTGTTGTACACATGATATTGTGAGGCCAGGGTAGTGTTTGATCAGGGTAGAACAGAATTTACTTCTGAAAACATGTACTGTCTTTATCATATGCCAGTCTAAGTTATGGAGGTACTCATAAAAATATGTTAGTACCCACCCTTTCTGCATGCCAGAAGCCAGACTCAACATTGACCTAAGAAAAGTTAAAACCTCATTGATTCTTTCAAATGTTTTTATGGCTACGGTTTGGCTTCTCTAAAAATGTTGTTGTTGTTGGTTTTAGTTTAGTTTTATTAACTTACAGCTTGTTACCACTCTGGCTTACCCAGGAGTTACTTGATTCTCCTTGAATAGTCACAAGGAATCTACATCTCTTTTCCTTTTATCTTTTACTTGAAGGGTTTAAATTCCAAGGGTTTTTTTTTTTTTTTTAATGACTCAAACATCACCAGAATTAGACATCAAACCTAGATGTCTAGATGTGATCGAATTTTCAATTTAAAGAGTTAAAGATTTTGAAACAGAGCCACTGGGCACAAAGCTGCTTCCACTTGCTGCACTGTCCTGCCTCTTCAGGCCTTACACATGTACTCTAGAAGAAGGTGAAAACAAACTTCCTCACTTACACAGTGCTATCCCAGACTTAAATACACACAGAAGGAACAGATTATTATATGAGGCATATGTAAAGATTGATTTTGAAGTAATGAATGAATGATGATTTTGCACACCATGTAATGAAGCATGAAGGATAGGAAAAAGCACAAGAGAAATCATAAAAAAGATTTCTTTACATTTTGCTTTTACACATAGAAAAATCATTAATTATGAAAGGTAACTGAGTGTACATGAAACTACATAGTTACTAGTCAAGAAGAAACACAAGACTTGGAGGTCTAACAAGTGATTTTGAAGTAATAGGATTAAACATTTCTAGAAAAAGGAAAAGCAGTTGACTCACAGACATTATGTCAAAATGAGAGAATACAGATAATGATGTGAGTTTAACTTGGAAAATGTAAGCACAACCAGTGTGCAGACTGAAGGAGAATGAATGGGGGGACTGAAGGAGAATGAATGAGGGGAGGTGACCAGCAAGCACAGCAAAAGAAAACTTCCAACCAAGATCGGTTTGACTAGAGACTGAATGATGCAAAGGATGATCTGGGTATGACAGGAAGGATGCTAACCTCATAACGCCTGAGGAATGCAAGATACAAAAAAAAATGGATGTTTGAAATGTTCACTCACATGGGGAATATGGTATGAAAGGTAAGGGAGATATGAGTGTACTTAGGGGACAAGATTAAGTCATTAGAATCTATATTTCATATTTGAGAACCACACTGACAAATAGGCTACACCCAACTAAGGTAGGCACTTGAGTATGGGAGAAGGAAAACCCAATTTCCGTCATGAGGAAACAAACAAACAAACAAACAAACAAAATCAACCTGTTATCATACTTAACTCTTAAGGTTAGTGTTATATATTTTAAAAGGGTCTTAGAATTTTCTGAGTGAATAAGGAAAAACACCTTATGGAATATGACACTGAAAATGTAAGCCACAAGGCAAACACATCCATCATACTTGAAAACAATGTTAGATAAAATTAAAGTAAAAAAGGAATACTTATGCAGCTGCTAGAAGTATCAAATCAGTATGATACACAAGCAAACTATAGGTTTTATTTTGATGTAGCCACCAGTGTTCAATGAAAGGATTTCTTGAATAATTTCTAGTAAAAAATAATTTCCTTCCATTTAGCATTCGTAAAATTGATGATATCTAATCATTGTGAAAATATCCATATAATTCTTAATATGAAAAGCAACATAAAAGTAAAGCATCAAAATGTTTTATTGAATATCTATTTTATGTCAGACCCAACAAGTAGCTGGAATCTACTGATATTTTATAGATTTCTGAATGTCATTCTCCTCCTTTATTCTTTATGAACAACTTGCTTTACTTCTTAATCAGTACCATTTCATTTGACCTTTATCAAAGCTGTATAAAAGCCATGCAGTTTAATTACAATATTGTACACAAAAAAGGAGCGTGTTTGAGGACCACACAGAAAGTTCACAAAGCTATATACATGAAGCACATACTGAGAGGCTCTTAAAAAGTGTAGATCAGAATTGTGCAGACTGTTATGGTTGGTAAATATTATACAACCATTAGCTAGAAATAAGACAAAACATGCAAATGAGTAGAATTTCAACAAATCAAAGGCTAAAAACATTTAGCTAGTAGCTAAGTTATCATAGTCAAAAGACTACCATCATATAAGAATGGGAATTTATAAAACAGGTTAGATTTTAAAAGTCTTCCATGAATAACAGACTTTCAGTAATTTCATATAAAAATCTTCAGAATTATTTTTCAAATTATGTTCATGACTGAACTATATTATCAATAGAGCTACAGATTAAGTCTATGACTTTTATGTAATTCTTTATTGTATTTAGAGGAAGTCTCCGTTTTTTCACCTTGGGAACAAAGATGAGAAGAAAGCCAATCAGTTAACTTACGATCAAGTAAAAGCTCTTGGTACGAGCAAATCCTCAACACAGAACCAGAGTCCAGTAACTGCTTAAGGAGCAGCTTCTGTAGGCTCAACCCTCAGTGTCCTAGTTTCAACTTTAGACATGTCCAATTCAAGATGTCCTTCTAGGCAGTGCCTCCTCACTGACAGTTCTGGAAACACCTCAGGGGTGTCCTCTGCTCTATCACATCTCCTTCAGAGTTCACTGTTGTGGCTGAAGTACATTGAGATACTCAGACTGGGCCAACTGGTAAGTGGTGTTCCTTCCGCAGTCGACATACTGGTACCTCTCCTGAGATATCTGCTCAGAGTGTCCAAAGTATGTCGTTGTTACAGTTACCCTAGAAATGAAATCAATGGAAAGAATATTCAAGGTATATTTAAAAATTTTACCAAGGGGATTTATGAGGTTAAAATCAGCCTAATATGAATTTATATCTCATAAATTAATGTCCTAAAATTACTTATTGAGAATTATAATGATCAATTATTGATTATTTGGATTTGGTATTAATGATAACAATATTATAGACATGGGACTTCTAGGGAATATTTCTTTATCAGATCCAAAAATGCTAACTGAGCAAACCCTATCCAATTATCTGCTTAAATAATACATATAAATAAACATATAAAATTCATATATATTTCTTTATAATTCTATAAAACATTTATAAAATATATAATTATAAAATATATCTTAAATATAATTAAAATAGTTATTTTGACTGAAAAATAGTTTATTACATGCTTAAAAAGAATCACATGGTTCCTTCATCACAGGACGGAAATGGAATATTAAATGTCAACCAATGGACAAAATATCAAATACAACCAATAATATTTTATGTACATAAATAACACACAATTTATAGACCCAAAGCATAATTTCTCCTTGCTGCTGAGTTTACTTATCAAGCAGAAAGGAACAGCTAGCTGTTGGCCCATCCTCTCAGTGCTAACCCTGCCATTTTCCTGAGCTCCCACAATGCCTGGAGGCTTTTAATTGTGTCTCTGGGCAACCATACTCTAGCTAGCGAAGCGAGAAAACCTTTCCATTTTACACAGCACTCTTGTAAGACTGAGGGCCCAACTGAGATGGCTTTCATGGGGATGCATAGCCTACAGGACTTGATAAACTCAAAGTCTTAGCAAGAGCTATTTTTGCAAACATAGCCATACTTACTGCATCATGAGTACTATGTTATGTACTTTGATGGAGATCAGTGTACAGAAATCGCTGTTAAAGAAATTAAAATAGGAAGAGCAATGTTACTATATTACTAACCAAAAATTCCATTAAACCTAACAGACACTGAATACTGATTTTTGTTTTGTTTTTCCCCTTTGAGATGGAGTATTCATATGCTGTGTAGGCTGACCTCAATAATCTTCCCCATCTCAGCCTTCTTAATGGCTGGGAATGTGGGCCCACGTAGCTGTGCCTGGGAAGACACTATTCAGAATCTATAAGAAGTGCTGGGAGATGGTCAGTGGGTAAAATGCTTGCTCTGTGAGCGTGAGGACCTGAGTCTGGATACTCAGCACTCAGGCTGAGAGCCAGGCATGGCAGGATGCACTTGGAAGCCCAGTCCTGCAGGCTGGGTACAGGATATTAGGGGCTTGCTGATCATCCAGCATCACGAAAGAAAACCTCTAGGTTTTCAGTCACAGAGCCCCGTCTTAGAGAAAATGGTAGAGACAGATAATGAAAAACACTCAACTTCAACCCTGACCTCCACAAATGCATGCATGAGTGTGTTTACCCTCACACATGCAACACACACACACACACACACACACACACACACACACACCCACACACACACAATTAAAAAGTCATCAGAACTACAAATCCATAAGAGTATTATTATGGATAAGAAATCTCAGTATGCCATTACTATACTGTAACTAAATGGCAACTAAAAGTAAGTGATATACATATACATATATAATAGATGTATATATATATATATATATATATATAGTATATATATATATACACATACACAATTCTGGAACTAAAGATGAATATTATGGATATACATATATACATGTTATTTATACTGTAGAGTGCAAAGAAGAAAACCATGTTTAGAGAACAGAGCAAACACTGAAAAATGTGGCCATTTTAACTGATGAGGTTATTAAGAAAACAAAAGGTAGAGTTACTAAAAATCAACACTTACTACATGTAACTCATTTCCTCAGCAATAACTGTGGGTACCGTATAATCAATCTGAAAGCAAACACAAGAAAACAGCAAGGAAAACATATCACTGGAGGATAGGATCCAAACACTAAAAATAATAAAAACTTTTCAAGAGTTAGACATCTTTTCTTTGATGAACTTGGTTTGAACTTCTACGGGACACATGTCCAAGTCTTTGAGGACACCCCCCACCTCGTTCCATTTTACAGCACACAGGGTGAAGAACCACTGAACTCTCTCAGAATGTCCCTGCCTGAGGCTTACCTGCTTCATATCAAGTGGGCCAATGTTAGTTATGTTGTTTAAGCGTGCCTTTCCAATAACCGTTTTTGAAAACTGAACTTGAGCAGTGATGTTTTCAACTTCAACAGAGTAATAGTTATTGTTTGTTATATTTAGTGTGTTCTGTAAAAAAAGGAGGCAGAAAATATACATTATCTTTAAATAGGCACACAAATGTCAACTCAAAACTATAAATCAAATAACTCCAGTTGTGACTACACCTCATTTAGTAGGAAAAGAAAAATATTAACAAAATGTCAGAGAACATTTACAGAGATCTACTATGTGTATAAGAAACACAAAATTCAAAATTTTAATAATCAGACCCAGAAAACATATTACATAAAAATATGGAAAAGTCAATGTTAGAACATGACAGGAGCCATAAGCCTAAGTGACCCTTGACACACATGCCACCATATTTGGGCTTCTCTCCTCTTTTTTTTGATCTAGGCCTTGCTTAAGTCTCCAAAGCACCAGAACCTCTTCTCATAAATACCAGAACCTCCTCTCAGAAATCAGGTGACCGCGCTGCAGTTAGGCAAGAATAGATAATCCCGAGAGCAACATCCCCTGCTGGCTGAACAACCCATGATTAAAGTCCCCTCCCTGCTTGCACTCCTCTTTGCCCCCGCCTATATATGCCTTAAGAGGAAAATAACATTTTGGAGCTTGACCAGACATCCTGTCTTGCTCTCATTTTTTGTGTCTCTTGTCCCTCTTATTTTCTGGCCCTCCCTTCAGGTCCCCGTTGAAGACCCCCGATGGCCAGGGCAAGAACATATATTTTAGAGTTTTAGCAAAAGTTGGACTAAACATAATTTTTAAGTTTCATTTAAATGTTTATATATATATATATATATATATATATATATATATATATATATAGTGTGTGTGTGTGTGTGTGTGTGTGTGTGTGTGTGTGTGTAACGACTACATAGTCGGCTTAAAAACAAAACAAAAAACCAACCAAACAAAAAAAACCCACAGTTTTGAAAGGAAAAAAAACCTGTTTTTTAGATAGGACCTCATGCAGTCCTGCAGACTTTGAACTCACTTAATTTCTCCTATCTCCAGCTCTACAGTACTCCTACTACAGGCATTTACCAAGTCTGGTTTTGTGTGGCAAGAGGGACTAAATCAGATCTTTGTGCACAACAGGCAAGAACACTTCCAAATGAGTGGCATTATCAGCCTGTTTAAATCCAAATGGTATTTTAACTTACATGCTTGTAGATTTATACCGGATTAAAACGCAGAGAAAAAAGGCTAGATTCACGTTTGCAGCTCAAATACGCCTACCCTCCAGGGGTATACCACAACATGCATATGCTACCACGGCCAGTTTTAGTTTACATGTTTTAAATTCACAAATATTACATCAAATTACTAGGGAAAATAGTCAATGAAAAAGTCCTTCATGCAGGAAAATGTAGTGTGATCTCAGCTGAAATATTCATGAGCACATGTGGTGTGGACCGTATGGCAATCATTGCTGCTTGACAAAGTTCCAGCATTTCAACATTGCGGACCACACTTCTCCAGCACATTTTACTTTCATTTTTAATGATTCTCACTATTAATGCCTTTCCCTTTGGGAAATTTTGTGCGGGCTTTAGCCAAGGATAAAAATGTGTACAATAGCCTCTCTAAACAAAATAATTCTTTGGAAAAAATTCCTGCCACTGTGGACCCAGGAATTCCATTGTGCCTTCCTAATTACACCAAAAACAAGAAAGTTAGAGATTTACTAGATACACCTGATCCCAAAGATGAACAACCTACAATTCAGATCCAGAGCCTGAGGCCATCAATGGCAAGAGTTCAGTTAACAAATGTAGAAAAATCAGAATGGTACTGTGTAATGGGAAAAGAATAAGACATCAGGACCTTTCCTTTGGGGAGTGTGTGAGGGGAACAAGCCCATATAGTAAGACTAAGAAATTATAGTATAGTATCTCCTCCCCATAAGTTCTTTTTCCCAGGGTCAGGCACTTGGATAAAGGTCTGCATTCCCTCTGGGGCTTGAGGAATGTTCCTGCCCGCTAAAGCAGTCATTCTCCTTATCTCTGGCAAGAGAAATTTAAGGTCCTTGCATTAACATATGACTAGTGCCTATTGTCAAGGTCAAGGTTAGCTTCCTCGTGGATTTCAAGCATCATCCCAGTTTACATGCCCCTTTTCTCCCATTTAATCCTAAGTACAATAAAAGATGTAGTATTTTTTTCAATTAAACACTGCTAACAGTCATGATTCACCCACAGATAGTCTCCTTCTTCATTCCCCTCCCCCTAACCACATCCTCTTTGGGACCCGAACCTCCTGCCAAAGCAGGTCTGCAGCATACATGTCTATCTTGCATATATTAACATGTGAGACTGCTTGATTATGCATGTAAAGGTCTGTATGTAGGATGATGTATATACTTTGCTAGCAGTTGAATGTATAATTTGTTGAGAGTTAAGTCTTCACAGTAGAGTCAAAATCATTATGTACTACACGAGTTTTCAAGTCTAGTAATAAGCATTTAAGTGTTTCATTAGTGCAGTACCACTGACTGGTACATACTGCCTTTCAGCCACTGTTCCTGGCTGACAATTCCCAGTTCATTTACATTAGATTATGATTATTGTCCAACTGCAGTTGGCTATCCTTCAATCATGCTGATGTAGCTGAAAAAGCTGAAAAAGAGCACAGGCCATCTCTATACAAATAAAACATGTGCTGGGAGTATGGCACATCCCAATTCCGTGGTGACAGAAGCCACTGTCTCCGCCTTTACTCTGTCTTGTCATCTGTCTATTATAAGACAAATTGCTAAACAGTCTTAAAAATGAAATAACCGGAGCCAGGTATTGGGGTGAATGCTGAAAGATCAGAGAAACAGAACAAGTCACATCCAACTTCACCTTGCCAATTCCTTAGCTGATCTTGTTTCCTCAGACTGAAAGTCTCTGTGTCCTCATCCGAATAGATCTCAGCTGAACTGCTGCTAAAAGCCTAAAAACTTAAGCCAAAAGCTTCTAATTCCTGGTCCTCATGACTTATATATCTTTCTGCTTCCTGCCATAACTTCCTGGGACTAAAGGCATGTGTCTTTCCCAAGCAAGACATGAGATCTCAAGTGTTGGGATTAAAGGTGTGTGTAACCTTGCCTGGCTGTTTCCAGTGTAGCTTTGAATTCACAGAGATCCAGATAGATCTCTGCCTCCAGAATGCTAGGATTAAAGGCACGTGCTACTACTGCCTAAACTATGTTGAATATAGTGGCTGTTCTGTTCTATGACCCCCAGATAAGTTTATTGGGGTGCACAATATATCAACCACAGTCTATGGACCTGTAGCCCTTAAAATATCCTCTGTTAATGAACCAATAAATGCAAGTATATTGATCCCTTGAGTTCTAAGAGTTGTTTGTTCAGACAAATTAACCAAACCTAAAACACAGGTTATGAGACTCTCAACTGATAGTCTACCAGAAGTTTCAGGGTCTGAGCCTGAAACTGGCAACTGAAGTGGAGAGTAGGCTGCTGGGGCTGAATCTCTAACCCTGAGTTCTGAAAGCTACCTACAGTTGGCCAGTGTCAGAAGTGAATCAATTTAGAGGGCACTAAGCTAGTTTCTTCAGCAAAATTGCCTGCCTGATGCTGAAGAGAAATCCTGTAAGTTGGGATCAGAGATCATGGGAGAGCCCATAAAATGGGGTTGCCCACACTTAAGGAGGGTATTTCCACCTTAACCTAATATAGACGGTCCCTCTCAGCAATACCCAGAAGCTTGTCTACTATATGTTTCTAGATTCTGTCAAGTTGACAGTCAATACTAACACTCACAAGTACGAATGCACACCCCTCATTTGAAGGGGAAGGAATAATACAACTCTGATACCGTGAAAGGACCTTCAGCTTATGACCTATAACCTCATCAATCAGTCTTTTACTTCAATGTCCTCGAGTGAAGCCTAATGTTCAACTCAACAGAAATTCTATTTCTGACCTAAAGTTCAGTTTTCTTTAATTTGATTATGAGGAAACATCTACAACTGTGCTGTTCTTTGCATAATTATTTAAAATACAGTAAGACACTCTCATTTAAATATGCTGGTATTTAAAAGGAAATTACATACTCAAGAGAACTCTTTCAAACAGACCACAGCATAACTGGGCTTGAAGCCATAAATAACTGATGGCCCAGGTGATTATATCGTTCCCCTTTCCAATGCAGTGGTTAGCAAACCATGCTTTTCTTAACCAAATGCTACTGTGTAAATGTATAAATCAATATAAGACCTCCTGTGAAGTTTTTAAAGTCGCGTGGCTGTATAATGCTTTTTCAAAATTATATTTGTAGTAAACCAATAGGCCATTTTCACATGTTCTAACTTAAAGCAATCAGGTCATCATTTCAACTTCATTTTTAAACAGAATTAAATAAAGGTTTATTAAACATGGCAGAATTTTTATTTCATAAATGGTTAGAAAGCAAAGATATTATATTCATAACATCTACTGAATCGACTGTTAATACCTTGGTAAGAACTATCTGGAGTCAAATGTTGAAAAGTAAATTGACTATATTTTTTTTCTTTGTCAGAAATTGTTTATTTGATCTTCCTATAAAAGAGATTTTCAAATGTTAAATGATTCTCAATATGTTCAAATGCCATGGGATTATTACTTAAAATTATAGGCAGAACCAAAAATGGTAGTAGGATCAACAAAGCAAATTCACACCAACCAGAACGGGTGAGTGACCCATCTCACAGTGGACCTGAACCACCTTCCCTGCATTCTGTCAACCACAACCTTCCCGAGGCCAACACCATCCTAGTTCATCCCTGGCTCTTCAGAGGCTGGGCCCCCAACCCCAATCCCAGCTGGCTTCCACCACTGAGGCACAGAGGACACCAGCCAGAACAGGCCCAGGTCACACAAGCCAGAATGGAACTCCAGTAGACTCCATAGGTTCAGACTCAGTCCACACCAGGTAGAAGAACAGATGCCATAGGCCTACATACAGTCCACACCATCTGAAAGAACAGCCCCAGCAACTATACTGGAGGCCAGGCTGGTCTTAGGTACCCCAGAAGAAGACTCAGGCTTTACTGGAGGCCAGGTCAGATCTAGAGACCCAAGAAGACTATGATCAGGAGAGCCAAGACCCCCCAAAACTCCAGCAGAGACACCCTACTGGACCTGAAGACTCATCAATCACCAGAACCCTTGGCCACTTAGGTCAGAAGACCAGAAAGGAAACAGAAACCAAGGAACAAAACACCCATCCAACAAAGACAAACACAGGAACCAACACCTAGACCTATAATCACCCCAAATCTAGATGCCTAAATGCCAGTATAAGAACACAATAACAGAAAGGACAATATGTTTCCACCAGAACCCAGCTGTCCTAAGACAGCTAGACCTTAACATTCCAATACAGCTGAAACACAAGGAAACAACCTTAAAAATAACTTTATGAAGATGATAGAAGTCCTTAAAAAGAAAATGAAAAAAAAAAATCCTTTAAAGAAATGGAGGAAAAGATAAGCAAAAAATTGGAGGAAATAAATAAATATCTTATTAAAGAATGACAAGAAAGCCAAGAAAAAAAAAAAAAAACTGAGGGAATTCTGGAAATGGAAAATCTAGGTAATGGAACAGGAACTACAGAAACAAGCATCACCAACAGAATACAAGAGATGGAAGAATCTCAGGCACTGAAGATACAATAGAGGAAATAGATTCATCAATCAGAAAATGTAATACCTAATATATTCCTAACTCAAAACATCCAGGAAATCTGGGACACTAAAAAAGGACCAAAGAATAGTAGGAATAGAGGAAGGAGAAGGAGAATCCCTGCTCAAAGGACCAGAAAATATATTCAACAAAATCATAGAAGAAAACTTTTCCAAACTAAAGAACACACCTACAAAGGCACAAGAAGCTTACAGAACACCAAGTAGACTGGACCAGGAAAAACATACCCTCGATACATAATAATAAAAACACTAAACATAAAAAAAAATGAAAGAATATTAAAAGCTGAAAAGGAAAAAGGGCAAAATAACATATAAAGGCAGACCAATCAGAATTACACATCTCAGTGGAGACTCTAAAGGCCAGAAGAGCCTAGATAGACCTCTTGCAGACTCTAAGAGACCATGGATGCCAGCCTAGACTACTACCCAGCAAATCTTTCAATCACCATAGATGAAGAAAACAAGATATTTCATGACAAAGTCAAATTTAATCAATAGCTATCCATAAATCCAGCTCTACAGAAGGTACTAGAAGGAAAAATCCAACTCAAAGAAGTTAGCTATACCTACAAAAACACAGTCAACAGATAATCTCACACCAAAAGAAACACACACACACACACACACACACACACCACCACCACCACCACCACCACCACCACCACCAACAACAACAACAACAACAACACAGGAATTAACAGTCATTGGTCATTAATATCTCTTAGTATCAATTGGTTCAAATTGCCAATAAAAAGATACAGATTAACAGAATGGATATGAAAACAGGATCCATCTTTCTGCTGTATACAAGAAACACACCTCAACATCAAAGACAGACATTATCTCAGAGTAAAGGATTGGAAAAAGATTTTTTTCCAATCAAATGAACCAAAAAAGCAAGCTGGTATAGCAATCTTGATATCTAACAAAATAGACTTCAAACTAGAATTAAAAGAAACGAAGAAGGGCATTTCATATTCATCAAAAGAAAAATTCACCCATTGATTTCTCAATTCTGAACATCTATGCTCCAAATACAAGGGCACCCACATTTATAAAAGAAATATTACTAAAGCTAAAATCACATACTGAACCCCACACTTTAATTGTGGAAAACTTCATCACCCCACTCTCACCAAGAAACAGGTCATCTAGACAGGAACTAAGCAGAGAAATATCAGAACTAACAGATGTTATCATTCAAATGGACCTAACCTATCTACATAATGCTTCACCTAAACACCAAAGAATATACCTTCTTCTCAGCACCTCATGGAACCTTCTCCAAAGTTCGATCACATACTCAGTCACAAAACAAGTCTTAACAGATACACAAAGTTAGAATAATACCTTGTATCTTATCAGATCACCATGGATTAAAGTTGGAGTTCAACAAACTACAAAAAGCCTAAAAACTCATGGAAACTGAACAAATTTTAACTGAATTACCACTGCATCAAGGAAGAAATAAAGAAATTGAAGACTTTCTAGAATTTAATGAAAACAAATGTATAACATACCCAAACTTATGGGACATAATGAAAGCAGTGCTAAGAGAAAAGTTCATAGTACTAAGTGCCTTCATAAGGATTTTCTAGAAATTTCATATAGCAACTTAACAGAAAACCTCAAAGCTCTAGAACAAAAAGAAGCAAACACACCCAATAGTAGTAGACAGCAGGAAATAATCAAATTGAGGGCTGAAATCAATAAAATAGAAACAAAGAGAACAATACAAAGAAACAGTGAAACAAATAGTTGGTTCTTTGAGAAAATCAACAAGATAGACAAACCCTTATCCAAATTACCAAAAAAAAAAAAAAAAAAAAACCAAAAAACAAAAAAACAAAAAAAAGGGGGGGACAGACATAACAACAGACACTGAAGAAATCCAGACAATCATTATGTCATATTTCAAAAACCTGTACTCCACAAAACTGGAAACTCTAAAAGAAATGACAAATTTCTTGATAGATCCATATACCAAAATTAAATCAAAATCAGATAAACAATTTAAACAGACCTATAACCCCTAAGGAAATAGAAGCAGTCATTAAAAGTCTCCCAACCAAGAAAAGACCAGGGCCAGATGGTTTCAGTGCAGAATTCTACCAGAGTCTCAAAGAGCTAATAACAGTACTCCCCTCAAATTATTCCACACAATAGAAACAGAAAGAAAATAATCAAATTCTTTTTATGAGGCCACAGTTACTCTGATACCAAACCACACAAAGACCCAACAAGGAAAGAGAATTACAGACCAATTTCCCTCATGAACATTGATGCAAAAATAATCAATAAAATACTGGCAAACCAAATCCAAGAACTCAAAAATATTATCCACCATGCTCAAGTGGGCTTCATCCCAGAGATGCAGGAATGGTTCAACATACAAAGACCTGTCATTGTAATCCACCATATAAACAAACTGAAAGGAAAAACAAAACACATGATCATCTTTCATTAGATGCTGAAAAAGGCGTTGACAAAAATCCAACACCCCTTCATGATAGAAGTCTTTCAGGGATCAGGGATACAAGAAACATACCTAAATATAATAAAAGCAAGCTGACAGCCAACATAAAATTAAATGGAGAGAAACTCAAAGCAATTCCACTAAAATCCAGAACAAGACATAGCTGTCTACACTCTATCTACTCTCTCAATATACTCGAAGTTCTAGCTAGAACAATATACAACAAAAAAAGATCAAGGGGATAAAAATTTTAAAAGAAGATATTGCTATTTTTTGCAGATGACATGATAGTATACATAAATGACCCCAAAAATTCTACCAGGAAACTCCTACAGCTGATAAGCAACTTTAGTAATGTGGCTGGATACAAGATTAACTCCAAAAAATCAGTTGTTCTCTTATATACAAATGATAAAAAGGCTGAGAAAGAAATCAGGGAAACAATACCCTTTCACAATAGCTATAGGCAACATAAAATATCTTGGTATAACTCTAACCAAGCAAGTGACATATCTGTATGACAAGAACTTCAAGTCTTTGAAGAAAGAAATTAGAGAACATCAGAAGATGGAAAGATCTCCCATGCTCGTGGATCTGTAGGAGACAACTTCCTGAATAAAACAGCCGTAGCACAGATACTGAGATCGACAATTAATAAATGGGACCTCCTGAAACTGAGGAGCTTCTGTAAGGCAAAGGACACTGTCAATAGGATAAAATGGCAGCCTACAGAATGGGAAAAGATCTTCACCAATCCCATATCTGACAGAGGGATAATCTTCAAAATACATAAAGAACTCAAGAAACTAGACACCCAATTAAAAAATGGTGTATTGACCTAAACTGAGAATTCTCAACAAAGAAGTTCAAATGGCAGAGAAACACTTAAAGAAACATTCATCATCCTTAGGTACCAGGGAAATGCAAATCAAAACGACTCTGAGATCCCATCATATACCTGTCAGAACAACTAAAATAAAAACCACAAATGACACCTTATGCTGAAGAGAATATGGAGCAAGAGAAACACTCCTCCATTGCTGGTGAGAGTGCAAACTTGTATAGCCACTTCGGAAATCAATATAGTGATTTCTCAGAAAATTGGGAATCAATCTACCTCAAGACCCAATGATACAACTATTGTGCATAAACATAAAGGATACTCAATCATACCATAAATAAAGCCACTATTATTTGTAATAGCCAGAAACTGAAAACAACCTAGATGTTTATCATCTGAAGAAGGGTTAAAGAAAACGTGGTACATTTAAACAATGGAGTATTACTCAGTGGTTAAAACAATGACATCAGGAAATTTGAAGGTAAATAGATGGAAATAGAAAATAATCATCCTGAGTGAGGTTACCCAGACCCAGAAAGACAATCATGGTGTATACTCACTCACTCATAGATATTAACTGGAAGAGGGTGAGAGGCTGAGGTTGGGATATAAAATTAATTAATTTAAAGAAAACCCAAAGCTGCATGGAAAACACAGCAACAAGGGATCAGCAGCAAGCCTTCTCTGAGCAGAGTACATGGGTGGCTGTACAGCACCAACGATGGAGTCCAGGCCTGCAGCAAAAGTGGGTACTTACCGTGATATTTAAATATATGGTTCGCTTTTGAAAATCGTAACTGACATAGGCTGATTTTACACCAATATACTTCACGTCAATAGATCGCGGGAAAAGGAAAAACACAGCCAATCCAGACAGGAGCAGGCAGACAGACACAGATGCCATCACATACAGCTTTCTGGAAAAAAAAAAAGAGAGAGAGAGAGAGAGAGAGCTTACATATATGCTATCCAGAATTCAACAGAGCAACATGAAAGGAAGCTATTTTCATTTGAATTCTTTTGCCACATCTCATTGCAGCAAGAAGACATGTTTAATTTTGCAAAATTTTCACTCTAAAACTATTAGCTAATGTTGGTACTTCTAAGAGTTAAAATAATCTCCTTAGAAGATGAACTGTCATTTTTAGAAAAAGAGATTTCAGCCTTATAATGAATTATTTACTGAACTGATTTTCAATCCAGGGTTTATATGAGAACAAGTTTAGGGCCCTTCACAAATACAGAATCAGAATCCAGGCCTCCATCTGGATTCATGGAGGCAGGGTTCGAACAGGAGTCTTACTACCTGACATGAATAAACCTGCAAAGCTTGTTGCTTGATGTAAACACGTGGCTCCCTATCCTCACTGTCTCCAGTCCTTTCAGACTCCCTCCCAAAGTACTCATGTACTTAGTTCTAAAAGTACTGTTTACAATTTTACAATTGATCGACTGAGCAGTGAAGATGTTATCCTGTTTTGTTTACCTAAGTGGAAATACTAGGCATGTACAAGAGAAAAAAGATAAATAACTCACGTGTCTTTTCTATCCATTTAACTCCTCTGACACGTGTATTTTCTTTCAGGGTTACACTCAAAACTATAGGTTCAGCTTTCTTGGGCACTTCACTATATAGTGCTCTACTAGGAACCAATTTCATTCTGAGTCCTATATGGCCTTCACCTTCTTGTGACCCATCATCTTGTCCACTCTCTCCTCCCTCAAACTTCCTATGCCTCAATCAAGTTCACTGCATAACCTTATAACAGCTGTTAAAAACTTCCTAATGCATTTTCTAGATACTTTGGCTTCCTGAGAAACAGAAAAATGGCTTAATAAAAAGAAATAAAGCAAATGAACAAAATTTCACTAAAATGCTACCACTGAGTTCATGCTGCTATGTGGAGCAAACCAGTCAATTCCTACTCATTCGTTGTGGAATTTTCTTCAGTCTTAGTAATAATGATCCATAAATAACCAATAAACTCATATTTGTCATGCCTAATATATATATATCCATAGGCACAAAACATCATAGGCACAAAAGAAATTTAAAAATCATTGTGATTAAACATCTTAACTTGATTGGATTTCCTATACTTTATTAGATTTTATTTTCAATAACTTGGGTATACACACACATACACACACAAACACACACGCATGCACACACATTTATTTGCTTTGTGTTATTTGAGACAGGGTCTTACGTAGCTCAGAGAGACATATCCCAGAGAGACCTTGAACTTGGTAGATTGCTGAGGATAGCCTTGAACTTCTGATCTTCCTACTTATATTTCCTGGTACTGGACTACAGGTGTGTGTCATGATGCCTGGCTGCTCTTACTATATTTGACAAGTATCTTCAGTATAAATTTTTCAAAAGTGGAATTTCTGCACCAAACACTGAAAATCCTTATGCAGTTTTGCCAAAAAATACAAAATGCTTATTCAACTAGTAAGACATGAGAATGCTTGTTTTCACTCAGTGTTGACAACAAAGCATGTTGACAAAATTCTGGGCTTTTGCCAATCTGATAAAAATGGTATCTCTGTGTACTAAATTTGCATTTCTTTAAGGAACAAGATGGAATATATTTCCCTTCATTTAAAGGTCATTCATATTTCTTTTCTGTGAGGTACTTTCCACCGCTTCTATTTTTATCCCCCTTTGTGTAGCTGTCTTTTTTCTTTTCAAATTTTGATGTTCTGTACAGAAGGGGACCAGTCTTCTACATGATATGACTTGTAGACATTACTTCTTGGTTTATCATTTGTATTCTGATTTCTACTAAGGTTTTCTTTTCTTTTTTTAAATTTTTTTTATTTTTTGAGACAGGTTTTCTCTGTGTAGTTTTGGTGCCTGTCCTGGATCTTGCTCTGTACACCAGGCTGGCCTTGAACTCACAGAGATCCGCCTGCCTCTACCTCCTAAGTGCTGGGATTAAAGGCGTGCACCACCACTGCCTGGCAAGGTTTTCTTTTCAACCAGGGGAAGTTTATCTATATTAAGTCCAATGTGGTTTTTCATTACAAATGGATTGTAAATCATAGCTACTGAAAGGTTTCCCACTCTGTGATTATAAGTTTGGACCAACTCTTTTTATTCAACAGCTTATTTAAAGCATCATGGCCAAGTTGGCCAATCTGACCTTCTATCCTTTACTCATTAACTAAGCCTCTTGCCCGAATGGCCAAAGGGTTTTTCTTCTTTAATTCTCTAAAGTCCATGATTTTAAGTAGAATATTTCTCAGGTTGAGAGTGTCTCTTTCTGGTACATACAATGAGACCTTCTTTTATTCTAGCCATATGTCACTCAAGCAAACATTTAGTAATTAATCTCATACCTCTTATTTGCTTCTATGGGGTTGCATAGACATTATTTTCTCAAAGATTTTTATTATGTATGTGTGGTAGTTTGAATGTAATTGGCTCCCATAAGCTCATAGGGAGTGGCACTGTTATGACGTGTGGCTTTGTTAGAGTAGGTGTGGTCCTGTTGGAGGAAGTGTGTCACTGTGGAGGCGGGCTTTGAGGTCTCATATATGATTAAGCCATACCCACTGTCTCAGACTACTTCCTGATGCCTGCAGGTCAAGATGTATCTCAGCTCCTGCTCCAGCACCATGTCTACTTGCAGGCTATCATGTTGCACCATAATGATAATGGACTATACCTCTGAAAATGCAAGTCACCCCAATTAAATGTTTTTTTTTTTTATAAGAGTTGTCGTGGTCATGGTGTCTCTTCACAGCAATTGAAACCCTAAGACAGTATGTATGGTGGTTTGAATAAGAAGGCCCCCATATATGTATATATTTGAATGTTTAATTATCAGGGAGTGGCACTACGAAGAAAGATTAAGAGGTGTGGCCTTGGAGTAGCTGTGGCCTTGTTGAAGGAAGTGTATCTCTAGAGATGGGTTTTGAGGTTTCAAAAGCTTAAGCCAGGCCCATTATCTCTCTTCCTGCTGCCTATGGATCTGGATGTAGAACTCTCAGCTACTTCTCCAGCACCATGCCTGCCTGCTTGCTGCCATGCTCCCTGTTATGATGACAATGGACTAAACATCTGAAACTATAAACAAGCCTCAATTAAATGCTTTCTTTCATAAGAGTTACCATGGTCATGGTGCCTCTTCATAGCAACAGAACACTAAGACAGTCTGTATGTTTACATACGTCATGTTGATTTAATTTCTCTCACATTTTTCCAGGGTATCATATTTGCACTGTGTACTTCCAATTTTATAGAAAACGTATTTTTCTAGATATTTTAATGGATCTGTTGTTTCTCTTTTCACATCCTCCTATCAGTTATTTCTGAACTTTTCAATGTCTGACTTAAGCTATTGTTATACCTTCTATTGTTTAAATTTTACATATATTTAGAAGTTTCCATTTGCTTTTTTTGTGTTTCAATTTTCAGCATTTTGTTGAGTACATGTTCTTCATGTTCCATACTGAATAATGGGATGGGCCAAGGTTGGCTTGGCCCACATGAGTACTCAGTCCCTTCTGACCTTCTCAAGGCCACTGTGGGTTTTCTGCAATCTCTGTTCTTCTCACTGTAACAAGTTATTCTCAAAAATACTTGCCAGCATTGCTGAGTGTAGGCGTGTTCTTTAGGGGTGGAGCATTTGTTTTCTACATCAGGACTCTTAGGATCGTTGGAGACTCCCTTGGCTTCTCTTCAAATGCCCACGCGTCTGCTAAGCATGCTCAGGTCTCTGTGCTCATTATGCTTTGGGCAGTCATTATCACTCTGGAGTCAGTGAGAACACAGAACCTCCTATGCCCGATGAAAATGGCCTGCATACAGGTGCATGTTACTGCCACTATTTTAGAACTCTTAATAAACAGGTTTCTGAAGAAATAGGTGCCATGAAGCTTTCACATCCTTACCCTAGTCAGTAATTTTTTTGTTTAAAGACACAGGGCATATGATGGTATAACTTAACTACTAGATACATTTTTCTTCTCAAATGTCTTAACTAGAGTAATTACTTATACAAAGTTTGAAAGTAAAAATATACAAACAACCACAAAAGCAGAAATCCTATAATCACTTACGTTCTTCTTGGCCGTAACCGCTGATCACTATATGGGATCAATGCCACCAGTTGGTTTTCTTGCCCTAAAAGTGAAAGATGTACATTAAAAATTCATTAACAACAATAACTAAAAACACAGTGGTGTTCGAGCAAAATCTGCTTCAAAAGACCAGAAAACTTCTCTCTTTATTTCTTAGGAAGCTGTTGTTTACATCTTCTAAAATTATCCAAAAGTTGTGTTATAGAGAAGATACATTTTTTCATAATGTCTAATTAACCAAAAGTTAATTATGTCTAAAGTATATAAATAATGAGGGCTCTGCTATTCTTTGATCCACTGGTTAAAAAACAAAATTCAAAACAAAACTGGAAAGTCCTGGTTTTCAGGAGATCTGCACTGAGCCCAGCTTCCTTCAGCTCCCTTGTTTTCCATTCAGACCAACGGGACGGAGGGCAAAAGAAACACATTGCTGCTGCCCTCTTCCTGATCCTCAACCGTGCTATCGCTATTCTAAATCTCAAGCTTTCAGGAGCTCACTGTTGTCATTTGCAATCACTAATTTCAAGTGATCCCTGAAGAGACAATTACACCATATTTCCTTAGTTCCCACTCTCTAAAACCACAATTTCAAAACTCAACTCTCTGCAAATTCTCAGCATAGCCTCCTTTGTCCTCATTCTTGGTCCACAATGTGGTACAGGGAGCGAATGTACCTAACAATGTACTTTCAAAGACTTTTCAGTTGTCCTAAATTAAGTTACAGGACAGAAAACAGAAGGAATAAGAGATAAGTTCATTTAACTCATAGCATCAAACAAAGAAAAGGAACCAATGCTCCACACTCCTTTCCTGTATGTTGAGGAGGAAGCCATCAGACCACACTGCATTCTGCTTTTGGAACCAACCAACCAGACAGCAAAGTTTTCTCTTTCTTTACTCTCCTGCTTTCCACGGGCTTCTGTTATCCTGGCATCTTTCTAGACCCAAAATAGATTCATGTAAATAATTTATAGTTTTTCTCCCAGAATTTCATTATGGAATATTTTGGTCCCTTAGGTCCAGTGGACATTTTTTCAAGTGCTATTTGGCCATGCTGCTGGTGACTTAGAGAATTTGTCATAGGCCCAGCTCTTTTGCCTTTGGCTAATGTCTGTAAGAGCTAAATAATCCCTTCATTTCACAGACTCCTCTGCCTCAAGAGATTGATTTAACAATATCTACTCACCTACCTGCTTTTATGTTCCTTCTTGAGAAGTTCCCAGTACCCTCTACAGGGTCATCTTTCTGCACTAGGTATCATCTCTCAAGGACATTATTCCACTAGCTATCCCATCTCCTGTGTTACCTGTATGTCCTCTATGAACCACTTTTATCAGCATGCACACATCTGGCATTCACTCCACCTTAAAAGAGATCACTCTCCTGACCTTACAACCTCCCAGCTACCACCTCTCTTCCCTCCTATTCTACAGCAAAACTCACAAAGCCTATTTCTTTATGTAAGATGTCACCCTACTGCCCCCACTTTAGGGTGTATCAATTCAAGGAAAAATTGGTTTTGCTTTGACATTATCTACACATGATGTTGCAACTACTCTGTTAAAAATCCCCAGTGGCCTCCACATCCCCAAACCAAAGGGAAGCCCTCAGTCCCCACACAATTTCATCTGTCATGAGCATTAACAGTGGCTCTCTCTTTCTTCTCAGTACATTTTCTCTACTTTCTTCTAGGACACCAAAGACAGAGATCTCCTCCCCCTCCCTCTTTCTCTTGCTGTCTTAAAATGTTGCATTGTCCCAGAGCTCATGCCAAAGTCTCTTCCTTTTTCTTCATCCAAATTGCTAAGCAAAGTTTTCCTATCAAGTTCCATTTGAAGTTTCATCATGTATCAATGACACCAGCTAAGATATGCTCTTCAGTTTCACTAACTGCCTATTAAAAACTCACTTTGATGTCAAACCCACCTCCCCCAAAATATCTGAAACTGAGCTCCTTGTCTCACTTCTGACATGCACACTCAAATTACTTTTATGCCTATTTTAATAAACAGTTACTTCCTTCTTTAAATTGTTGAGTAGAAAAAAAAAAAACTTTGAGATGATCCTTTATTATCTACTTTCCTTAATCCACACCCAAACTACCAAAACGCCTACTGGCTGTACCTCAAAAGCATGGCTAGATAGACAGAAATAGTATTCCTACCCTATCATACTGGTGTATTAATTTCTTCAGCCACAATACTTCTTTCATTCTTAAGCAGCTACTGTGTCCAGAAAGATAAAACCACCATTCAGTAGCCTATGCAATAAACCCCACTTAATGCAAGGCACTTTTCAGAGACTCTGGAATTTTTTATGCTGTCACTCTGTCCTTCCTTAGGGTCTCTCCAGGGTCACCTACTGACTTTTAACACGTAAAGAACATCACAATACACTCTATTATTTTTCTTTTCTACCAGTGCAACTCAAGTACCCTACAAATAAGAGGGAGAGGACTATTTCCTTCTGTCTTCCCCATGACAAATCATAAGCTCATTTTTCCCTTACTTGGCTCTTCTTCATACAGCATGGATTTCCTTTTAAAATATCTAATTGGGACATAAACAACTTACTGTTTGGATAAGGAGTTACTGAATCATGTAACTACTAACATCCAAGATGGCAAAATGGCTGTGATATGGCTTCTAATGATGTCAAAAAGGATGAAAATCCTCAGTGCATGTTGGCTACTATAGCAGACAAGCATGAAAAATACCAGAGGTGGGTGCTCAAGTCATGTCTCTCCCTGCTTCAGGAACATTACTAATCGCTTGCTTTTGTGTCTTTTGTTGTTGGTGTTTTTCGAGACAGGGTTTCTCTGTGTAATTAGTTCTGGTGCCTGTCCTGAATCTCACTCTGTAGACCAGGCTGGCCTTGAACTCACAGAGATGTTCCTGGCTTTGCCTCCCAGAGCTGGGATTAAAGGCGTGTGCCACCACCGCCCAGCACTTTTGTGTCTTTTTGACTAAACAAAATTGGTAAGTTTTAACTCTCAATCATTGAAAATAGGATTGCTTAAGACTCTAGGTTTTACATTACTTGAGCAAATGTCTGGAACCCTTTTTTAAAAGGATTATCCATGCAGTAACACATACCCCTAGGAATTCTTCCTGTTCCTTGGCAAGTGGGACAAGTGACGCTGTCTCTTCCAGTAAATTCCACATACGGAAACTGAGAGACATCTCCATTTCTTCCATCTTCATTCTGGACTTCGCTGCTAACCAACCCGTTCCTCATGTTGTCTGTCGAGGTGACCCCATCATAACCATCTTCTTTATTTGAATGCAAAGGTAAATGAGAAAGAGACTTTCCCATGTCTAATGAAAAACAAAAATATGACCATAAATTCCAGGGGCAAAGTAATCTCATGGGATATTTACAGGGCTAGGTAAGTGCAAATTACTTGTAAGATTAAAATTATATTCAATCAAAATAATGTCTGACACGAGGGAGCCATTTGCTAGGACCCAGAAGTACTTTTTAACAAAGCACTATGAAATTAAAGCCTGGTGATGAGAATAGGGTTCAAAATGGTGAGTAACGTTTGGCAAAAGATTACAGTGTAGACAGACTTTAGACCTCCTTAGTGTTCTCAGAGGAGATATGTGCTCTTAGGTTTTGTAGGAAAAACAAACATGTTTTAACGAGAAACCAGTTAGCACTAAAGGTGGAACTGACTGTTGGCTTATCACAACAGGTATGTATATCACCAGCTAATTTCAAAGTGTCATTTCTCTCATTTTAAAATACTTCTTTGAGTTCTAAACTTAGAATTCTTGCTTCAAACAACTGTAACAAATATTTACAACAAGAAGAAAACCTCTCAACCAGATGATTTTTTAAGCCATGAATAGTTTTCTGTAAGTCTGGTAGTTAAAAATTAGGAAGCAAATATTCAGAAATATTAAACATCAGTTACTATACAATGTAGGACAATTGAGTATATTATCGTCAAATTTTTAGGGTAATAGTTTAAATAACAGATGTTAAAATCCAGGTAAGAATAATTAGTGCTAGCAGTCATACAGGAATAAGCCCTCCAGATAGGTCATGCAATACAATAAAGCCCTACAATTTCATGACGGAAAGGAACATGAAAAGTCACATAACACAACATGCTGGTATTCTGAGACAAAATTAATAAAAACAGGAAACAAATTTTTTAAATGGTGCAATTCCTTTTCTTCCTATGGTTAATCATATATCATTTATCAGTTTCTAAATAACATTAGGCAATCATTAGATACTACATTAAATTATTTTATTTAATAAATAAAACTAACACTAAATAAGTCAAGTCACCCCACAGAAGGAAATTTTGCTTCTCAAAACTCTGTTCGTTGAATTCACTCACAGTATAGACAGCAATATTAAATTAAAAAAAACCTTGAGTAGTATACAAGAGTGAAAGGGTGAAAGTATGAATAAAAATACTTTCAAAAGTTCTATGTGCTCATTGTCTGGCCAAGCTCAAATATATTAATGACTGTGACTTACAAACAAGCAGTATCTTAACTTGGCTCAACGCCTGCAAATGAGAGCCAAAGCAACGCTTGCCAGCCACAGGTGCACAGGGATGAATTTTAATCATCAATGTTCCCACACACTGTGACCTTGGAAGCTATGCAGAACACTGGGAACTTTGGGGATGAGCTGGCCTCAGCGGTAGGCATGGGGTCTACCCTTTTAGCTCTCTTAGACAACAGGGGTCGAAACTGTGGCCCACGGAAGGGAGCCCTAAAGTCAAAAGGCTGATGACTGAGCTAAATGGCTCTGGCCTTAGCCGGCTGTTGTATCCAGATCCACAACAATCTTGACACATTCTGAAGGCAGGTTCTGGCACGCACCAGATTTAAGCAGTTTCTTGAATGCCAGGCTTCGTGTCTGGCCTCTCTTGAGTAGGTACTGACAAGTGTAACCAGTGTTATTTTGGAGACTTACTTGAGGTTTTGAAAAGGAGTGCAAGATCCCCTTCGCCTCCTCCCTGGCCTCAATGTTTACGTCGCGGTCTTGTGAACTCAACACGGTTCTCAGATGGTCTGGAAACAGGGGGAGAAAGAAATACAGCAACCGCATCCAACTAAGATGTGTCACCAGGCGCGGGGTCAGTTCGGAAGGGCTGGAGAGGGAAAGGAACTAGCGCCTTTTAAAGGGCGACACAGGCAAAACCCCTGGAAGATGATCAACCTCCGAGGCACCTTGCAGCCAGAGCGGGACAACCCCAGAGCCCCTGGGCCGCCCCGATCGAGGGCCCCTGGGCCGCCCCAGCCGAGCCCGGCGGGAGGCCAGGGCCCGCGGTGACA